TGGGTGCTGGTTTAGATCCGGGCTTCAGAGTGCATGGGCCTGAGCACGCTTCGCTAGCTGTAGGGTGGGCAGCTGCTTCACAGAATGATGGGGGCGGGAATGTGACTGTTATCACATCCAACAATGCAAAGCCTTGCTCTCTGCACACAGGCCCTTCCCGGGGCGCATGCGCTGCAAGTGAAGGGTCTGGCTTGCGATGACAGTCCACTTGGGCGGTTGAGATGAGGGACCCACGCCCACCATGAAGCACGCTTGCAAAATGTACCAAATCACAAATGACAGTTATTCAGAAGCCTGACTTGCTGGCAGAGGCAACACTTGGGCCTGAGTACAGCACCCTTCCCCCAAATCAGCCCCCGCTCCCCATGCGGAGTTGGTAAGAAACGGGCTCCTGGCTCCCCTTCAGGGCTTTGCCGTGGGGGGTTTGAAGAAGCCCACCTTCCGGAAATATCTGACGATCAGGGGCACGGACACCAAGGTGATGCTGATCCTCACGGGCGCGAACAGCTTGTGGATGGCGTAGGCCACCACGAAGGTGCTGGTGCCCGTCGCCACCTTGGAGTGAACCAGTGAATCCTTGAATCCCAGGCTCAGCAGGAAGGTGGATACGTCCACGCCGCTGGAGAAAAGATCAGAGGGCATCAGGAAAGCAGGCAGCTGAAGGGGGCCCCTTCAGGCTGTAGGTGTCAGTCTTTGTTAACAAAACACCTCTAGGACCTTTAAAAAGTGGATGACAGGAGCTAAGGTCAATCAACAAGCTTAGGGAAAAAGGTCTAATTCACGGGCTTGTATAGACAGTAAAAAATCATCAGGTTTTGTGGGAAACAAGGATTTCTCTCAAGCTGTCTCCCCCAAATATATGCCAGACTTAGCTGCTTGAGAGTGACTGTACACTTGGAGGTCATCAGGAGTGGATTAGGGGTCACTCTAAGAGCTATCAGCCATCTAGACCAAGCAGACACCACTGTTTGTCCCACAACAAGTAGGGCCCACTCCCTTCTGATAAGGATTAGTAGTTGTCTGTAGTTCCTTGTAGGAGACACCAGAGAGGTCAAACCCGCCCAAGAATGACCAAGGTTAGGCTGCCATCATGAGTCTTGGGTCCGCCCATCTTGTCACATGTATACCCCTAGACCTTCCCATTCCTATAGGCACACCCCTAGCTCATCCCTCCCTGTTATGCTTATGCCTATCATAGATCCCCTTCCTACAATGTGTGAGTATAATCATGTCCCCGTAAAGTGATATAACGCTTGGTTAGCAATAAAGAGCTCTCTCTGGCTCCCGGGGGCCCGGGAGCTCTCCCTGGTCCTTGGGCTGAAAGCTCTCCCCAGTTCTCGGGTTCCGAGGCTGCTCCTGCTCTCGTGGCCAGGTTCCCCCCACGAGGACCACCAAGCGGGGCTGAGGTGAGCAATGAATCATGTCTGACTCCATTACTTGACTCCATCCTTTACTTCTCATGCTCTCTATGACTTTGACTATGATCTTTACGTATTATCGCTGTACGATTGTGCCTACCGGACCTGTAATGACTTGTGGGGGCTCCTCCCATATCCCCACGAGGTTTCCTAGTGTTTTACTAATGTGTCTGTTGGTTGCTGGGCATACCCGTGGCAGAGTGGGCACCAAGTGAACAGCTTGTGTCACTCAGTGGCATCAATGAGGCTCCTCACAGAAGGCACCCATTCTCACCCGGCTTGCCCCAATCATTCCTTCTTCGTGAGCCAAAGTTCACAGCCTGCCCTAGTGCCCCCGCCCCCCCTCGCCCCCCAACTTCCTATCTAACCTTGCGATTTGTTTTCTATACAGTTGACTCGGACTCGTGACCCTAGAGGGCAGAGTAGAAGTGCTGCACAGTGAGGTTCCCACAACTATCAATGTCTTTCTCCTTTGGAGCAGCTGGTGGATTTGAACTGGTAACCTCTCAGTTGGTAGCTAAAGTGCTTTACCCATGATACCACCAGGGCACCTTTTCATACACCCAAATTCCAAAACCAAACTCGCTGCCGTTGAGTCGATGGCTCACAGAGAACCAACAGGAGAGGGTAGAACTGCCCCTGGGAGCTTCCAAGACTGCGGGTGGAGAAAGCCATGCCTTTCTCCCGAGGAGCGGCTGGGGGTTCTGAATTTCCGACCTTAAAGATCACCGCCCAATGCATGACCTACACCCGTGTGAAATATACCAGAATTGCTTTGATCCCATAGAGCAGCTGTTCTCAACCTGGGGGCCAAGACCCCTTTCACAGGGGTCACTTGATTCATAATAGTAGCAGAATTAGTTATGAAGTAGCAATGAAAATAATTGTATGGTCGAGGGATCGCCACACCATGAGGAACTGTATTAAAGGGTTGCAGCATGAGTAAGATTGAGAACCACTGCCACAGAGCACGTTCCTTTAAAGTGCTCCGAGCTCAAAGCAGACATCCCCTCACATTGCACTATGAAAGACCCAGCATTTCTCGCACTTACCTTGAGACAATCGCGTAGATGATGCTCAAGGAGAATAAGGAGATCCCGATGTGCAGGGACATCCCCACCGCCCCATATTCTTGAAAGATCTTTTTCAGCTGCTGGGACTTGCTCAGCGTTTTCTCCTCTGTGCTTCCAGCCTGGTCCCGGACCGTCCCCACGGCTTTGCTGGGCCCCTGCGCACACAACAGAGAGGAGACACTGGGGCAGGAGGCTTCTACACACTGGCTTCGGCCCCGAAGAGAGTAGGCCACCTCACTCGGACCCCGAGAGCTAGGGGCATGCACTCCTTTGGGAACTGGACCGAAGGCTGGACACTGGATCCCAAACCCACTGCCACTGAATCAATTCCCACTCACACAGACCCTGATCCTGCCCAGGGTTTCCGAGGCTGTAGATCCCTATGGGAGCAGACAGCTTCATCTTTCACCCTCAGAGCAGCTGGTGGGTTTGACCTGCTGACCTGGCAGTCCAGTGCTGAAGCTTAGCCACAGTGCCACCAAGTTTCCTTTCGGATACTGGGTAGACACGGCACTAACCCAAATCAAGCCCTTTTCCCCCCAGTAGATTGACTCACAGTAACCCTACAGGACCGAGGACTGCCCCACAGGGTCTCTGAGACAGTAATCTGTACAGAACGGTGCCCTGGTGGCAGAGCAAGCTAAGCACGGGGTCTCTAACCAGAAGCTCGGTGGTTCAAACTCACTAGCTACTCCTCAGGAGGACACACCCACCCTTCCAGCCTCCATTCCCCCACCCCCAACTGGCTCATCTGGGACCGACCCTCGACTGAGCCTCTGACAATCCCCAGCTGGACCACCTCCCACCTTCACACCTACGGTTGATTCTCCACACCTGCCGGAGGCCCCCCAACAACACTGCTAGTCAGCTACCACTAGTTACTTGGCCCCCTAACAGCCCGGACTCCCCACCACTCAGGCCCTCTTGCTTTCTCTTTTTAAAAAAATTTATTGGGGGCTCTTACAGCTCTCATCCATCCATCCATCGTGTCAAGCACATTTGGACATACGTTGCCATCATTTTAAAAACATTTCTTTCTACTTGAGCCCTTGGTATCTATCAACTCCTCATTCCCCCCCCTTCTGCCCCCCCTCTTGCTCTTTCTCCAAGAGGCCAGACATCCTTACGTACTTCTGTCCTTCACATCTGTCATTCCTGTCACCTCCCCGTAGCCGCACCCCACTCTCCCACAATGTGCTCAGTCCCTCACCCCCTTCAGGTTTTTGTCCAAGGTCTGCTGAGAGAGCCTTCCTACTCCCTGCTGGGGTCTACTTAGCACCCCAAACCCAACTCAACATAAAGAAAACCCAAATCCTCACAACTGGACCAATAGGTAACATCATTTTCAATGGAGAAAAGACTGAAGTTGTCAAGGATTTGGCCTTGCTTGGATCCACGATCAATGCTCGGAGGCAGCAGCTAAGAGATCACTTAGGTAATGAGTTCCATTTAGGTAAACATGCTGCACAAGACCTCTTTACAGTGTTGAAGAGCATGGATGTTACTTTGAGGAGGAGGTGCAATGGCTTCATAGGCATGTGAAAGCTGGGCACTGAATAAGAAAGAATGAAGATTCGGTGCGTTTGAATGACGGTGCTGGCCAAGATTATAAAAGTACCATGGACAGCCAAAAGAGCCAGCAGATCTGTCTTGGATGAAGTACTTGGAGGCAAGGGTGGCAAGACTTCATCTCGCGTACTTTGGACATGTCAGGAGCGATGCGTCCGAAGAAGGCTGTCATGCTTGGTGAAGGAGGGGGCAGTGAAAATGAGGAAGGCTCACTGAGAGACTGGAGACCCGGTCTCAGAACAAGGAGCTGGTAATCGTGAGCACGGCGCAGCACCGCCAGTGCTTCATGCTGCTGTACGGGGTGGGTACCACATGGGTCAGAACCGACTCGATGGCACCTAACCACAAACCAGCACCACAGCTGTAGGTTCGAGTCCATCCCTCCAGAGGGGCCCTGAGAGAAAGGCCTGGCACGTACCTCTGACAAGTCCATCCCTGAAAACTGGAGCCCAGTTCTACTCTGACGTGAACAGGGTCGCCAGGAGTCTGAATCCACTCCGAGAAACGAGTTTTTGGTCTCCATTTTTTAACCACCTAATTTTAGCAATCACTGCCACCGTAAAAAGAAGCCGTGTATTCCTTTGTAGTCACTCCTCCTTCCACCCTCCTCCCTGATCCCCTGGCAACCGGCAGGCAATCTATTGTCTGTGGATTGGCCCTGCCTATCAATGGGGCCACACAGCCCACGGTGCTCTGGGCCTGCCGCCTGCCTTGCGGTGGTGACGATTTCACGGGCCACTCGTACTGTAGCACCAGCAGCGCTGAATTCGCTGTTACAAGCTGACCTTGGCTAAGTGGCCCATTCCGCCACTTCACCCTGGGAGAAGGAACGCCTGCTCGGCTAGGGAGCACTGCGCCCCCGGTGTTCCGGGTCGGGCATGGTGACCTGGTTTCAGGCAGCAAGAGGAGGGGCAGGCTCAGAAGATCGCGCTTGCATGCGGTATGAGATACACAAAACAGGCTTTCTCCACCTCTTCCACTCCCCCAAGGAACTGACTCCCCATGGAGGTCCAAGTTCTGCACATGGCCACTCAAAACAACCAAACACTGCATCGAGTAGATCCCATGCACAGCGACCAACAGAACAGGGTGGAAGCCCCTGTGGGTTTCCGAGACTATCAGTCTTGACTAGTAGAAAGCCTTTTCTTCCCTCAGAGTGGCTTGGGGGATTGAACTATGGACTGGCCTTGCGGTTAGCAGGCCAACGTGTAACCCACCAGGGCTCCCCTGCACATGGCGAAGGGGGCTGAAATTCTGCCTGGATTTAAAATCTCCCCAGAGTCATGCTGGTTATTAATACAAAACACCTACTCTTGGGCCCCTCCCCTTGCAAGAGTCCGTACAAAACGCAGGCTTATTCTAAGAGTCTTTCCCTCCCCTCCCTGTGCTCAACTACCCAATGAAAGGATGGTGCTTCAAGCCCACCCAGCAGTGCCACGGAGGAAGGGCCTGGCAATCTGCTTCTGTTAAGATCACAGCCAGGAAAGTCCTACGGAGGGCAGTTCTGCTCTGTAGCGCAGGGGGCTGAGTGAGTCAGAATCAACTCCACAGACTCTAGCACAGCGGTTCTCAACCTATGGGTCTCAACTCCTTTGGGGGACCCTTTCACAGGGGTCACCTAAGACCATCGGAAAACACCTATTTCTGATGGTCTTAAGAACCAAGACACCGCTCCTCTATCCATCTCCAGGCGGGTCTGTCCACATGCAGATACGCACACATACGAGTACCCGGCATGAAGACTGTTAAACGTGTGACACCATGCCTCAAGACATTTCATTTATTTGTCATTAGAAATAATTATTTCACAATATATAATTACATAATGTTTTTGTGATTAACCACTCTGCTTTCATTATGTTCAATTTGTAACAATGAAAATATATCCTACATACCAGATATTTACATGACGATTCATAACAGTAGCAAAATTACAGTTTTAAAGTAGCAACGAAAATAATTTTATGGTTGGGGGGTCACCACAACGTGAGGAACTGTCTGAAAGGGGCACAGCATTAGGAAGGTTGAGAACCACTGCCCTAGCACATAACTAATAGTTATAGGAGGGGAGGGGATGTCTCTCTCGGTTCTCACACTGCAGTTGAAACAAAAACAATAAAATCAAACAAACCAAGGTCAGACTGCTTTGGATCAAGAATGAAGGCTGCAGGGATGGGATTCCGTAAAGATCACAGCCAAGGAAACCCTCTGGGCAGTGCTACCCTGTCATGTGGGGGCTCTCTGAGTCAGAATCAAGTCGACATCAATGCACGGCATTCAGCCTTCAGGTCTATGAAAACAAGCACTTGGCAAGGGTCGGGGCTATATATGGCCAGAGCTGGTTCTGGGGTCCTAGAGAGGGAGCTCGACCTTTGGGGGAGGTCTCCGGGAACCCTCCCCAGTCCTCAGACAGGTCCTATCCAGAGTCAAGAGCTGTGAAAAGTGCGCGAGGCATTGTTTCATCTTCCACCCAGGGCACACTGAAAAGTTTAAGCAAACACATTTCTTAGAAGCCCTCACAGCCTGGAGAGCACAGAGCTAGGCCACAGGGAGACAGGCTCTGGCTGGGGGTGGTCCTCACAAGGCCACACAGCCTGGTGGCCTTTTGGGCCTACAGTGAGTATTTATAAAGGACGGTTTTCCCCACCATGGAGATGCTCTGCAGGGGAGGGCCAGGGCAAGTGGATGGATTTCACCTCCCTGCTTTCCTCAAAGCTTTCTGACCAGCTGCCTGGGCAGGTTGCCCTGGGGTTCGCAGAGAACAAGCCCCACCACCCCGTTTTGCCCATTCCCCAGGATCTCCCAGCGCTCTCTGCGGTAGGTGCCCTCCCTTACAATCTCCGGAGTTGGCAGCAGGCCTTTGACCCAAAAGAGGAGGCAGCCAGATGCCCAGCCTCAGGATCTGACGGAGACAAAACACCCAGCCCCTCCCCCATGGATGCCATTTCTCCACAGCCAGCCCCAGCACGTTTCTCACGCTTCTAGAATGTTGACTTGGGCGGTTTTCTCTTTTATCTCTGGAAAAGGAAGTTATCTGTGAGCACCATAAGCCGTGCCATTTTCTTTCTGGAAGAGACAGCAGAGGCCAGAATAGCGAGGCTTATGACACAGAGCCTTAGAGACACGGTGGGCTATGCAGTGAGCTTCTGACCATAGGGTCAGCCGTTGGAATCCCTGGTGTCTGCACAGGAAAAAGACGAGGCTGTCTGTTTCTGTAAAGAGTTAAGGTCTTGGAAACCCTAAGGCACAGTCCAATCTGTCCTGTAGGGTCACTATGAGTCAGAATCGACTCGATGGCACCGAGTTTGGGTTGTTTTATATGAAGGGAACACACGAGGGGCAGTCACTCCACATTAATTATTACCTCTCCTTTTGTCAGGGAGTTCATTCCGGCTCATTGTGACCTACAGGACCGTGTAGAACTGCCTCAGCGGTTTCCAAGGCGATCCTCCTGCCAGAAGCAGGCCGCCACATCTTTCTCTCTGCCCTCATAAAACTGTCCCCCAAGCTCTTCCCAGAAGGGGCTATTGTTAGCCCTCTGGAAGGCACGGAGAAGCCCCCGTGGCATAGTTCTAAGATGACTGCTAGCTGAAGGGTCAGCAGCTCCCGCCCACTTGGCAGGGGGACGTTCTTTTCTGCCCCTTTGGGTCACTATGAAATCATTTCGAGGGCAACTCGGGTTGCGTTTTCTTGTTGTGGAAGATAGCAGGCTCAGAGGCCTTCAGTGCCCCCTGGCAAGAGTGAAGTCCAGATACCCGGTTAGATGGACCCCTAGTCCCCGTGCTCAGAGCGTCAGCCGCTGGTCCCCGACACCTGCCTGGTCCCTGTTTCTCGGGCAGGGCTTTTGCTCTCTCTCCAGACCACCTGTCAGGATTTATTACTACTTTAAAGGGTGTCTTGGAAACTCACAGGGACATTTCTGCTCTGCCCCTACAGGGTCGCTGTGAGTCAGCATCCACTCGGTGGCAGTGACTGTTTGGTTTGTGTTTGGATTTTAAAAAACCACAACTGTGGTCGTTTGCGTGGCCACTCAATCAATACCAGTTTACTCGTGGCCGCTCTGACGGCCCCAAAGGCAGTGGAGGGGAGCAGCATACCCCCATGGGAGCCTTGCCCCAGTTTGGCTGGAACGCAAAGGGACAGAGGAGCAGCAGCCAGGGCGGGAGGGCAGCAGCACCGCGGGCGCACCCCAACACTGGCAGGGTGCTGGAGAGTGGCTCCCGGAGGGGCCAGCACCCAAGGCCCAGCAAGGAAGTTGTTTGCTCCAAGTTCAGGGCCCGCGTCCTCCCCTCATGCCTGTACCTCGGCACTGGCCCCCCAATGCGGATCGCTTGTGGCTTCCGAGAAACCGTCCCTTCCCCGTGCCTCAGTTTCTCCAGCTGTTAACTGGGCAAGTTGCTTTTTAGGCTTGTGGGGAGTTGAGGGCCCTGTGGGTGCACAGTCTCGGGAGCGACAAGCGCAAAGCTCTTTGTGGGCGAAGGCGGCCGAGATCTCCGAGTTGAGGGGCGGAGGGGGCGGCTTACCTGGCGGCCCGGGCCGTGCCTGCCGGCCACGCACAGCAACCGGGCGTTGGGCCCGGGCCGGAGCAGGGGTCGGGCCAAGGGCGGCGGGGTGCAGGGCGCGGCGGCGCTGAGGAGCCAAGCGGCGGCGGGCCGCACCCGGACGCCCGCTCTGCCCGCAGGAGCCAGCAGCGTCAGCAGCCCGGCCATGGTGCGCGCGGAGAGCGCGGACCCAACCAAAGAGGCGCGGGCGGGCGGCCAAGGACGCGCGCAGCCGAGGCCCCGCCCACTGGCCCGCCCCTTCGGGCCCCCGGCTCAGCGCCGGGTGGGCGGGGCCCCGACGCGTAAATTCTTGGTTCCGCCCACTAGCCTGCAGCTCCGGGGCCGGGCGCAGAGTGGGCGGGAACGAAGCGCACGCTTCTTGGCCCCTCCCATCAGCCGTGCCCCCCATTCCCAGCCGTCGGAGGCCTTCGCGGAGTGGGCGGAGCCGGGGAAAACAAGCCCCCTCCTGCTCCGCCCACAGGCTCCACCCCTTCCGAGGCGGAGCCCCGCGCGGACTGGGTGGCCCTGGAGGCGGGCTCAATTTATTGGGTTCCGCCCACCGACCTGAGCCTCCGGAGTCCTGCGCGGGGTGGGCGGGGTCGAGACGCGCGCACTCTTTGGCTCCGCCCACTAGGCCCGCACCTGTATCCCAGGTGTGGGGTTTTGCGTTTCTCATCTGCGGATTCCAGAGGGCAGAGGGTGGCTGTTGGGATGTTTTCTTCTGCGGGCACAAGAGTGGGCCTAGGGCTTTCATTTCTAAGTTTCCTCCCCCACGAAATGGGCGAACGCTCCCAACGATGCAGGCGTGCCTCTGACACATTGCGGGCTCCATTCATTCATTCGTTCGTTCATTCATGCATTCATTTGAGGCCACTGCGGTAAAGCAAATGTGGCCGTAACGCGAGCCCCACTGTAGGCGCTGTTGTGTGAGGAGACCCGAACGTGGCAAAGCGACGTGAAGCAAGCTTGTCCTCTTGGGAAAAGCTAATAGACTTTAGTGGTGCCGATAGATGTGGGGAACTCACACAGGGAAATGTGACGCGGACTATATTCCCTAACTTATAACAGAGGGAATCTGGAAAGCTGGTATTCCTCTGTAGGAAAGCCTCCACTTTGGTAAGTTAGAGGTAAAGTCCAAGTACACTAAAAATCATTTTAAAATACTTTAAAAATCATTCCCACGAATTCTCCCCTTAACAGCCATGTTGCCTGAAAGGAAGCACATGGTTGATTATATCTCTCCATAGAAGCAGACATCATCCTTTTGTTTTCTCCTCCCACCATGACACCCAACCCCCTTGGACCTTCCCCCAGTGCAGGTATTAAGTTTACTCACCTGTGAGCTCAGGGACCTTAATGTAGATACCACCCATCTTGTAACGAATGTAACTACTGAATATGCTCGTCTTATGGCTCCCTATGGATGTCCCCAAATAACAAAGACTCACTCTCACTTCTTCCAGTTCCACAAAGTCCATCAAGAGGAGCTGAGGTGAGCATGCTACCATAAAATGTGTCTGACTCCTTTATTTTATTTTCTCTCCTATCTTTCTTATCCTTTATGACATGACTATAATCTTTTTTATTATTGCCATCCATTTGTGCCTTCAGTTGTTGGAGACTGGTTTCCTTTGACAGGCAGACTTGCTCAAATGCAGGGTTACCATAAACCTTTGATTTTTAATAGCATGGCATTTGTGGCATGTAAGTAGGGGACGTGCACTAAAACTCAGCAATCCTGTAGAGCCATGTACCTGTTAGTTCAAAAGAAAAAAACAAAACATGGGAATCAAGTTAATATTTAGTTAAAAGTTTTTCGAATGACACCCCTCCAACCCCATCATTGTTGGTGTAAATGTGAAGTGGGGCAGGCTCTTTAGGAAAAAATTTGGCAATTCCTTAAAAACTTAAACATACTGGAAGGTACCCTGAGGGTGCAGTGGTTAAGTGCCAGGCTGCTAACCAAAAGGTCCAGGGTTGGAACTATAGCCATAAACAAACAACCCAACCTTGCTAGTGCCCCTATAGGCCCGAGTTGAACCGCCTCATAGGGTTTCCAAGGCTGTAATCTTTGTGGAAGCAGATCTTTCTTCCTACGAGCGGCTGGTGGGTTTGAACCGCCAGCCTTTGGTTAGCAGGCAAGAGCGGAAACCATTGCTAGAGAACACGGTTGGGTAGCTCTGCCCTGTCACATGGCGTTGCTATCCATTGAAAGTGACTCAGTGGCACACAGCAACGATTACAGTTAGTCCTGTGTTGCTGAAAGGTGAAGCTGTAGCTCTGTAACTAAGTGCACATATGTGAGGTCTAAAGAAACCCCAGTCATCCTGCTCTGCTGCTAACTGAAAGGCGGGAGGTTGCAGCCCACCCAGAGGCACCTCACAAGAAAGGCCTGGTGATCTGCGATCCCCCCAATCCAGTCATCGTGCACAGTCCTTCTCTGACCCCCGCAGGCCAGGGCGACTCCGCACTGGTTTAAAGCGACCCCGAGGACATGGGTAGTTTGCTGGTAGAATTCTCACCTTTTATGTGGGAGACCTGAGTTTGATTCCCAGCCAGTGCCCCTCACAGGCAGCGACCAGCCACCTGTCAACACACATGTCAACATGTGTGTTGCTCGGGTGCTGCACAGATTTCCGTGGTGCTTCTAGATTACGGTGGTGTAGACTAGGAAGAAAGGCCTGGTGATCTGTTTCTGAAAACCAGCCCTGAAAATCCTATGAAGAACCATCGTTCGGTCCACAATGGGTCAGGACTAGCCCAGGCAGAGTTCCTTGTTGGTGGCTGTTGCTATAAATTGGGGGCCAACTGAATGGCGGCTAAAATGA